TTCCCCTGTTAGTCCATTACATCATCAAAAATAAAGTATTAGAAGAGAGGAATGAGCACTGGGCCTTCTGAGGATGAGTTGGTGCAAGGCTCTGAGCTGTGCTCAGTGCTCCCATCCCAGACAGATGGGTCCAAACACCCCACTTGTGGCTTCTCTCAGAGAAATGACTGTGTCTTGCTTTTTCCATCTGTAAAATGAACAAGGATTGGTGTGAGAAGCAAAGGAAGTAGTATTAGACTGATAGAAACATTTCATAGAAACAGCCAAACTGACCTACAAGGCAACCCAAAGGCAACCTGAAGCCTGGGTGTGAGTTGTTAGTTTTTCCCACACCTGGAATGAAATACCCAATACCACCTACTTAAAGGAAAAATTTATACTGGGTCAGTTTCAGTATATTCAGTCTGTGGTCAACATGCTTTAGACAGAAAGGGTATAGTGGAAGGGCCTGGGGGGAAAAGCTGTTCATATAATAACAGCCAGGAAGGAAAAAGCTAACTAAGAAGGAAGAATTAGGGAGAATACACCCTTTAGGCTGAGCCCCAAGTAACTCACCTCCAACCCAGCCCCACCTCCTGACAGCAAATTTAGCCATGAACTCATCAGTGGATGAATACAGCTCTCTCATGATCCAATTATCTTCCAAACTCCCCACCTCTGAACATGAGACTTTTGGAGTCATTTTAGACGTAAGCCACAGGAGTGGGGAAGCTGTGGAAAGGAGGCTTTTCTGCAAGAACTGAATCCTTTCAGGTGCTGTCCAGCCAGAGTGAACATGGCTCCAGGAAGCCCTAAGCCAGAGCCTTGCCCCATACAAATACAATAGTTTTTCTCATCCTCCTTGGAGAAAACAAGAACCTGAGGACCTTCAGAGTGGCAACCATTTATAGCAGTCACATTTGCAGGTGCCTTTACTTCCTTGTTTACTAAATCCTATTCTCTCTTCAGTTCTATGAGATGGGAACTCTTCTCCCAACTTGACAGATGAGAAGTAAACTTGCCCAGGATACACAGCTGTAGGGAGAGAGGTGGAGTTGAAGGCAAGGGGACTCCTAAGTCGTACCACCAAACTGAGTTACAAAAACCCCAAAGGAGATGCAGAACAGTTTGTGCTGGCAGCTCCTAATGATCTAAGCTGTGTAAGAGCTAGACTGTTTAGCAAGGTTGCAGGCTGCATGGAGCCATCCCCAGGCCATATGGCTAAGGTGGCCTTGCCCTACATCAAACACGTGTGCAGACTACATAAAGCTTCCAGGGCACACTATGCCTGCAGCCTCCTGGTCTAAGGTTGTCAGATCTACTCAGGCAATTGAGAGCTGTCAAAACAGGATGTGTTCACTAATAGACATCTTCATAGCACATTATAAATGGGCCGAGAGGGTTTCTCTAAGGGCAAACTAGGTAATTCTACCCGTACAGCACACCAGACCCAGCCTCACTGAGGATCATGGGCAGAGGCTCCACAGGGCTGTTTGTTGCTCTATGACCAAGTCTCCTGCACAGCCTCTGCTGCGCACTGCGTAAGGTCATAATAGCAGTAAGAATTCAGCAGCTGTTACTTTCTGTTGCTGAATCCACACCGATCCCTTACCAGTTTGGCTTCCCCTCACACAATCGTGTGATTTTTGGGTAGATGGTCATAGTTTTCCTGTGTGTAGTGCTTTTATAGGGCAGCCAATTCTAACAGTTTTGTGATTCATCTTGACTCCTCCCTCAAAGACAGTATTCTCACAAGAGCTTTGATAAACAAGGGACTGTTAGGGACTGGCCACCAAACCTGCATGGCCACAGATGGAAAGGTCCAGGACTCAGAAGTAAATGGTTGAAGGTCAACTAGAGGTAGGCTAAGATGCACACATTAAGTGTGACTAGACCAAGTTCTCTGAGCAGTAGCTGCTCCCTGCCAAGAAATCCTCCTGTACAAACTCCAATAAATTTTACTTTATTCCAGAAAGAACACTGTGTATAGAAGCTCTGAGGGAGCATACATCAAGTGTGAAGCTTCCCACCAAAGCTTATGTTCAACCACTATCACCTGAAGGGTTTTTCAGTATGAGCCCATGCCCTCATACCCAGTATGTCCAAATTAATTTCCTCTTCATCATCCCTGGAGACTGAGTCTGCTCAGCCTAATAGCTCTTCCCAAGCTCTTATGCCCGACTCTACTATGGGATAGAACAGCTTCTCTTGGAGGGGACCTGGGAGCATGGGATTTTGGGACACAAGTGATTTATCAGTTTTCATTGTCTCTTTCAACTACATTGATCAAAACTAGATGTCATCTTTTTTTTTTGGTAACGGGGATTGAACTCAGGACCTTGTGCTTGCAAGGCAGGTAGCGGCTGAGCTAAATCCCCGGCCTTGGATGAAATCATTTTTAAAAACACTGCTCCTAAGTGAGGAAAGAAGCAACTGCACATGGCCAGCTGAGTAACAGGAGGAAGCCTCAGCAGAGGGATGAGCTGGATGGACAGAGCCATCCTTCCAGATCTAATGCAGGTATAACATGGCTGCCACAAAATTCCACCACCATACAGAAGGGAGGCTTGGGGACCCAGATGCATGGGTTTTGAGGACCCACTTCCTGCCCTCATGTCTCCTGCATCCAGCTTTTTACTCTTGGAGACTGAGGTACCCCATCCCTAATAACAACAGCCTCTTCCCAAGTTCCTATATCTGATTCCTGGTTGGTCTGGCTATTGCTTTCAGTGGAGGCGAGCGTGAGGCTGTGGGGGGAATAATATGTCAAGAACACATCTTCAAGTCCAGTACAGGTAACAGTTAAAGCAAATGCTTATAGCAGAATACCCACTTAGCAAATTTACTGATAATTCTTCTGTTTACATTTAAATGGTCAGTAATTTTCTAGGTTATGACTTGAGTATAGGTGCCAACACACAAATGTGTGGAGAGATCCATTTCCATTTTTTGAAATATATGATATGAAATTTAAAAAACACTCATGGAAACATAAAGCACTTGTTTATTATTGCTGTAACCACGGCAAAAATCTCTTGAAACAATCAGCCTTGATAAGGGAAATAGAATCAGAAACAGTACTCAGAAATTTGCAGTTCATTCTCTGCTGAGACTTCACTATTTCACACATACCATCTACCACAAGACCTTTATTACACAGGAGGAAAAAGAGAGCTTGGAAGTTATCAAGTGTGGCTTGACCACTTGCCTAGCCCTTGACTTCAGACCAATCACCCCTTTGAACCCATTTCATCCTGTTTTTAGAAAACATGGGAAAGGGGCTATAACAAACCTGCCTACACTGAGGATCAATTAAGAGAACATGGATGGAATTGCAGTAAACTCTAAAAGTTATACAAAATACAGTATCACTAATGCAAGGCGGGGAGGATTCATCATGGAATTCTAAGTTTGTGGAAGCCTGCATGACAGTCACCCAGAATCCTGAATCCTGGGGGAGGACGAGGGAGAAAGGATATTAATAATCAAGTCTCCAGGCTCACTAAAGAAGTATCTGGCTTGACAAGCCATGTAATATGAACCCAACTATAACCTAGAAACACTGTCAGTTTTATTTTACCTTAATATACATTTGCACAGGCAATAACAAAAAGGCTAACACAACAATTCAGTGAGTTTTACCTAGTTTCAAGACTAACGCATGCAGTTACAAATTGAGAGGTAGAAACACTGTATTAAAGACCTTAAAAAATACAAACATTATATAAACAAATGTTAAAATTAACTGTAGGAGTTTCATACAGATAAATAAGGTTAAAATTACATTATTTTGTCAAAGTAAAGGAAAACCATGTTTGTTTGTTTGTTTCCATCAGTACCTTAATGCCCAAAGAGCAAAGCCAAAGAGCTTCTCTGTGCAACTGTCAGAGTTCAGATTATTTTAGGTAAAAGGATTAGAATAAAAGGATTAAAACTGTTAAAACGGTTTATTCAAGTATTCAAGCAGGTAAAAAAAAGAAACCAAATAATATACAATGTAGGAACCATTCCCAGAGGGATGTTAACTGCCTGCATTCTCTATGACTAGATATTTGGTGAACTGTCAGGATTAACACTGAAAAATACACATTAGGCTGGAGACAGCTGCACATTGTCCTAAGAGAAAACACACTTTCTTTTTCAGTAACTTCATGTAGAAACTCCACATCACTAACAAGTCTTTAATAACCACTTTGTTTCGATCCAATGGAAATTCTCAAGAATATCTTTGCATTCATGATAGTTTTTCTAATACTGCCCAAATAAACCTAGCCCTTAATACACCTAAGGTTGGGGCCGGGGATTTAGCTCAGTGGTTTCGCCACCTGCTATGCAAGTGC